GATTTTTAAAATATCACCATATCTTAAGTATACAAATGAAATAGGAGTTTTCTTAGCGAATTCTTTTTTGATCGAGTCCCTTGGGAGCATAAAACATACGGACAAACTCCTTATGTAATAGCAAAAGACGCTGTCACAGTAGACCGCCGATGAGATTTTTTATTAGTTGAATGATGGTGAGAATATTGTCCGTAACTTACTGATAGATCTTCAGAAGATCGCATGAGGGTGTCAGTTGGTTCTTCGGCTATTTATGGAGACTAAAGAATCTGTATCAATGAAATTCCTAAATTTATGTCGGACTCATCCAACTTCATTTTCAGCAAAGATAAAACGTGACGCTGTTTTAGACACTTTGACGTTATAATCCATGCGCCGTAAGGTGATACAATACATGGCATAAAATCACATAATTTGTTTATTTATGCATATATTTATCCGAAATTTGCTGTGTATATTACTAAAATATGTACTAAATAATAGTGAAAATTTCAGAACGCAGTGATGTTTATTTTTTACACTAGACAACTTGTCCACGTTTTGACGGGACAACCCTCGTATATCCCAACATGCGGGGTGTATACTATGTTGTGCGCGGGGTGTATACTTCCGAAGCGAGAGAAAGGGGGTCGAGGTACGTTCTTTGTCCGTTCTCTCAACTTACGGATATTTTTCGCCAGAAAGCATGTGCCTACGGAAGAAAGCATTAACTAAGGAGTATATGGATACCTATGAATCCACTGGACACCTTCTAGTTTTATCAAACACCTCAACACAATTCCGAGGATCGGAGCAAGATTGACGCTACACTGTGTTTATGATCAAATATCAGAACAAACCTTTGCTTTATCATCACTTTTATATTATCATTAAATAAATGTTTACAATATAAACGATTGTACAAATTGTCTGTAAATAAAACAGTTCGTATATAAAGATATTGACGAAAAATCAATGTTGTGTCCGGGGTGTATGCAACATGTTGTACGCGGGGTGTATACCCCATATTTTTTTTAGGATTGTTAGTGCGAAATATCAATGGAAACATTATTCACACAGGGTTATAAGCAACAGATAGTGTTGATAAAAGACCTTAATACTAATGCCGAACCAAAAACTTATTTCCATAAACTTACTAAAGTATTAAACAAACTAAATTTTAAAAAATCAAAATAGAAAAATTAAAAAGAAACGATCATATTAAAACAAAATAGGCACTAGGTGTGCAAGGAGCGATTGTTATCTGAATTAATGCTACATTGTAGGATGGCGCAATGGTCTAAATCTACGTAATCATGAAATCCCCCCCCCCCCCTACATTGAGGAAACTTTGACCTTTCTTTAGCTCGTTGTAATCTAAATATTTCGCCTGTTAAAAACAATAGAAACAGTACATGAATGAATAAATCATTTTTTTCTGCAACATTTATGTTATTAATACATGTATTCTTAAGCATTTATGGCAGTGAAGTAGAATTTTTTTTTTAAAGGGGGGGGGGGGGTACCTGAAAAATTTTTTACATAAGTTGACTAGCTATTTAAAAAAAGAAAGGGGGAGGGGGCTTATCGAAACTCAAAACTCCTATTTCAGATGGGATTGTAGGTCGCATCTTTTTTCAGTACCAATTCTCCCTTTTTTTTTACTAAAACATATAACCATTATTTGACTATCGTGCAACATAAGAGGGGGGGGGGGGGGGCAAGCTGTCTTTCGATGAACATATTCTGTAGTGAAAAGTTGTATCTGGAACAAAAAGGAGGTAATACTATGTGTCTGTATGATATATTAATTTTTCTTTCAATTTTCGCAATATGTGGACTCATTTTTCCTTATCTGAAATGATTTCATATTTTACGAATTACAATAAACATATAAAGCCGGCTATAAAAGTGCACATTTGTAAAAAGGGGCGACAATTTTCTAAGAGCATGCACAATTGAAAAAAAATCTGTTTTGGGTACAATTACAATTTTACGATGACGGGTAATTAATATCAATGAATGCCTGTTCACCCCTACTCTAATTTATTATCGTATATATATACACGTAGTACAAGAACACCCCCCCCCCTAAAAAATGACCTAAGACACAAACACACCCTCCCCGGGCCCATTTCTAGAAAATATGTACTCAATACAATACAATGCCTCAATATAAAACAGTTTACTGCCAAATATGGGCTCCTGGGGGCAAAGTACACAGCATATAAATACTACATGAAGGAGAACTTTTTTGCTGTGTTTATGACATTACAAAAAGCCATTTTTCAATGTCATTTAACAAATATTTTTAAAAAATACAGATTATGAGAAAATGTTAATGTTCAAAATGATGCATGTGTGAAGCATTTATTAAGGAAGGATCTGAATAAGGTGCCTTTAAATTGAAGGGATGGGTTGTTGGTCATCACATTATACAGTTAAACAAAGTACCTTGTACATTTACTTTCTTGTGCATGCAAAGCCAAAAATGCGATAAACGTATATCAATTTTTTTTCTCCAGCAAATCGTGAAATTACAAAACTGGTGAATAATTTTGAGAATTAATACAACTTTCATAAAAGTAAGTTTAATGACATTACTAAGTAAGTACTTAAGTAAAATTTTCAATGACATTTCAGACAATGATACTACAGAGTGAAAAGAAAGGGGTATACACCCCGCGTACAACATGTTGCATACACCCCGGACACAACATTGATTTTTCGTCAATATCTTTATATACGAACTGTTTTATTTACAGACAATTTGTACAATCGTTTATATTGTAAACATTTATTTAATGATAATATAAAAGTGATGATAAGGCAAAGGTTTGTTCTGATATTTGATCATAAACACAGTGTAGCGTCAATCTTGCTCCGATCCTCGGAATTGTGTTGAGGTGTTTGATAAAACTAGAAGGTGTCCAGTGGATTCATAGGTATCCATATACTCCTTAGTTAATGCTTTCTTCCGTAGGCACATGCTTTCTGGCGAAAAATATCCGTAAGTTGAGAGAACGGACAAAGAACGTACCTCAACCGCCTTTCTCTCGCTTCGGAAGTATACACCCCGCGCACAACATAGTATACACCCCGCATGTTGGGATATACACAGTGGAATTAGGTTACAGAGTCCTATGTTTTGGTTGACACCTCCCTTAAACTCAAGTTGCATCAACTAACAAAATTTGATGATTCTAATCCAATTAGAATTGGGAAAAATTATTTATATAAGTGTACCCATGAAATCCCAAAAGTAGGCCATAGAGACCTATGTTTTGGCTGAAACATTCCTTAAACTTAAGATGCATCACCTGTCATAATTTGATATTTCTAAGCCAATTAAAATCCGAAATATTTAAATATGCCCATGCAATTCCAAAAGTAAGTCATGGTAACCTACCCTTAGTTGACATACTCAAAGCAACAAAGAAGCATCAAATAACAAATCTTTCTCATTTTTAGCCATTTTTGTATCTGAAATGAATTCCAAATGTAGGTCATAGTGACCTTTTCAATTTGAAATACTCTGGGGACTCAAGATCTATCATATAATAAAATTAACGATTCTAAGCCAGTTGGTATGTGAATAAAAAAAAATATGGCCATGATACATATATTTCAAAAATGGGTCACTGTGACCTACATAAAGTTTTAATACCTTGATGCCTTAGGATGCAACAACTGACAAGGTATGATGATCTCATGCTGCACAATATGTCAAAAATATGTATCTGAAACAAATTTAAAACGAATATATGCCGATTTCAAAAAGTAGGTCACTGTCCCACCTTTTTATAAGTATACTCCAAAGTCAAAGATTCAAGATTACAAGTTTGATGATTCCATATCTCTCAGTATCCAAAATACTCATTACTGACCTTTTTAAATGCTTTGAAAAGGATGATTTTGAAAGTATAGGTCACAGTGACCTACTTTAGGGTTGACATACTTTAAGATCCAGAGACATCTCTCGGCCTTTATTTTTATTGAAATAAAATTTAACCCATGGTGCTTTAAAATGTCTCTGTTCTTTTGACAAGCAAGCCAAAAATACTATACAATTGAATGCCAAGGATGAAAATGGATGTGACTTTTTAAATTATAGAATGAATAATTGAATAACATTTTTTTTAAATTCGTTTATTGAACAAAGCAATAAAATGTTACTTTCTGTAGTACATTCTCACTTTGTCATAATCTGAGAACATAATTTAATTATCAACGCATGTGTTTTGAAGTACAAACACATAAAATATCACATATATCTCCAGTGTAGTTTATACTCATTGTACTTATAGATCTGATAATTTACTAGTACATTTTATATAAATAGTTATTATGCAATAACTTTCATGTTTAACAATTCAAAACATTGATATAGAAATTTGGAGAATCGTATCGCATCTATATAAAAATGTACACATAGGACAGAAAAACAGTTGATTTTTTGATACTCTCCAACCTACCCCTATATGATCTTTTTTTTTTATTTTGATCATTTAATTTATTTAATTTCATAGTAAAATACAAACATGTACCATCTTTATTGTTTTTTTTTTTAAGTTAAGAAAATATATCATTCATTTGTCAGACTAATTTTTAGGTTGAAAATTTTTATAGCAATAAATCAAATTTTCCTACAGATACCAGTCTGGTGTGTAATTAAAACATCAATAAGTTTTCAAAGTTTGTGATTTTTATGATATTTTATCAGTGATAATTTAAAAAATAACAACCTGCCTTCCCACCTAGAAAAATGTGGGTCAATGTACAAAAAAAAATTATTTTCTATGATGGCACAAAGTATTTACTGGTTCATATATAAATATATAGTTGAAATGGTTTTTAAAACATTGCAAATTGAGCTTCAAAAAGTGAAAAACTAGACAATTTCCATTAATTCCTTGTAATGAGGTTGGGTCTTCTTTCTTTCTGATAGAGGAATCATTGTTGGATGTTGTTTGTCTGTAGCTGATGCTGAAAGACATTTGGTGTGTCAACTCTCAGTTCACATGAAATCATCGGAGTCATTGCCATTGTCCTAAAATAAAAGAATTGTGAACATTAATGCTGATTTCATAACAAAATGAAAAGTATGGTAATACTTGGTAAAACTTGATATGATTTTTTATTCATTTGTTAATCAGATACAAAATCAAATTAATCTACTTAGTAACCCCAGTATGATACTTCAATACTTGACCAATAATCAATACAAATATTTTTCAAATTTAAATACAAATATGACAAGTGCCCTTTAGCAATAGAAATGGATTTTTTTTTAGAGCCATTTATTCTGGAAATATCACCAACCTTTTTTCTGTTTATTTGTTTTTCAAAATAATTTTAAAACTCTTTTGGATACTTTTGATTTAAAATCATATGAAACTTTACCAAAATGATTTTAAACGCTTTTTGGTTTTTTGCCTGTACATGTTTATACCCCAAATCCTGAAAAACTGTATCAAACCTATTTGAGTTGTCTATTTTTAATCTTTATTGAATCTTTATTGAATAACATGTATTTCAAATGCAAGCACAAAGATTGAATTTCTGAGTATATAAAAGTGCACTTGTCCTTTAAAACTTATGTTTGATTTCTTTCACTTCACTTACTTGATTTGATGTCATATTTTCTGGTCGCATTAAATTGGCATATGATCTGAAATGAAGAAAATAATAATCATACTGAATGTGATGCTATCATTAAATAACAATTTAGAAACCTTAAACCTCTGATGGTTTGATAAAACAAATATCATCTGAAATGGATTTGTTTATAGATTTTTACAATTATACAGATAACAAAATATTGACCGCAAGTTGGATGAATCAAGCATTAACAGGAGAATGTATCATCTCAGCAATGAGCCTGACCAGGAACTTTTTAAAAGAATTTTATAGAGCAGGGTCACTTTAAATTGAGATTGTTTAGGAAGAATTGTCCCAAGTGAAAATATCACTTGTGATTATTACACACGTCTAGTGGTCTATTGCAGGAATCCACTGTAAAAAAAAACATTCATTGAGGGAAAAAGAGAAAAGGAGTATTGTTCATTAAAAGTAACAGTTGTTCATAATAATAAGCCTATCAATCTAGGTTCTCTCTCAGCCCCACTATCCTGATCTAGCTCAGAGTGATTTTTTCTTCACATCAATATAAAAATTTCGCTCCATGCATGGCATTTTCAGACCAATGAAAAGGGTTCAAGGAACTGTTAATAAGGATAACCAAAATGAAATAGTGCATTAAATTTTAAGAAAAATAATGAAGAAGTTAAAAGTATTCAAGACCCTTTTTCGCTAATGCATCATTCTAGTGTTAAATACAGTTAAACTTTGGTATCTTAAAAGCCAATATCTTGAATACCATGGATATATCTAAGTAAAGTGGAAGTCCCAACCACATATTCTTTAAGTATTTAACCCTCGATATCTTGAATCCTCAGATATCTCTCAGTTTTCTCTGAGCCCCATCAGGTTCGAGATAACATAGTTTGACTGTATGTTTAATCTAATTCCACCCTCCAACCTCAAAATTTTTTTTAGATTAATCAACCTTGTTTCAGCATCTTTTCTTTTCTGTTCCTCTGCCTCTTTTTCCCTCTTCCTCTGATCTGCCATCTTCTTTTTCTGATCTTCCCTCTCTTCTCGATCTCTGTCTTCCCTCAGCTTACGGAAGTCTGGATGATCTTCTGTTTTTGTCTTGTTTAACCTGTTCACAATCTCGTTTATTCTTTTTTCTACTTTAACTTTTCTAACCTGTGAAAAAAAAATGTTTCATTAAATGAATATTCTATGAAAAAAATATTTCATTGGTGATGTTATAACAAAATTTATCAGCATTTTAAAACTAGACACCTGAATTTCTATTATAGAAGAATGCACAGAGTTCTTGAAATTTTTTTTTTTCCGATGTCAGTCATTCTGACTGACTGCCATGTGAAGTATGTAAGTCCAAACAGATTTTTATCAGTCCAAAAGATATAATTATGACAACTCTTAGCTGTGACATTCTTGAGAAGATTTTTCAAGTTTTTTCCTGTATATTCCTAGTATGTAAAACTTTGATCACATATTCATGATATTGTAGCCTCACCCTTCCCCCAAGGGAAGTATTAAGTATTAAATGTTAAGTTTACTTGACTTTACCTCCTTATCCTTGAAGAATCCCACCTGTCCAACATCCATACCATTAGTTTTCTTGAGATTTGCCCACATCGTATATACAACATCTATGTTATTCATTTTGTTACCTGTATAATACAAAAAAGTCTGATTTCTGACAACATCGTGTTGTGTCTAAACATAACAATTACAACTGTAAAGGAAATTGCAACAATATAATATTTAATTAAATTCATAGTTAATTAGAATTGAAACATCATTGCATAGTAAAATGAACATAAATTTATTAAATACGATGTAACTTCAATTTGAAATATAGTAAATTTTAGACCAGTTGTATTAAATGTATTAAAGATTTTCTCACAGAATTGAAATCAAAATATTCACCTGAGATACTGTTTGCCTTTACAAGTTGTGCGCAGTCATCTACCACAGACTGTGGAACATCATCTAATGTTTCATTCTGAAATACAGAAAGAATTGTAGCCAGTCCACGAGAAAACCATGCAGAACTGTCCAAATCGAAGGTTGTCATATCTTAATGAAATTTGGTGGGCAGTTAGACTTTATAATATGTTATTAAAAAATGACCAAAAAAATTCCCATCATACAACATGGCAGCCGTAGGCAGCGCCACCTCCTTTTTGTACATTTAAGTGCAAGTGCACTTAAAAAGTTCAAGAAAAATGGTAAAATTCACATTTGATTTATTTTACTCAAAATTAAACTTGCATTTCCATTAAGGTATTTTTAAGTAACATAAGACTAAGTTCTTTCAGAATTCCATTTATCATAATCAAATATGCAATATATCAAAGGGCAGACAACTCTTGAAAATTGGCATGATGCCAATTTTCAAAAATTTCCAAAAGTATTACAAATTTAATGCCCAAAATCTTCCAAGACCAATCTTTGAAATTAATTTTTTTGATTTTATTGTACAAATATAACTCTAAATATTATCTTTGCAAAACATTGAGCTTGGGAAATAATAAATCATTGAGATATGGGGATTTACAAATTGCCAATTTTCGAAAAAAATTGCTCAAACTCAAATGGGTTACAAAGTCAAATATAGTACTTTAAATTAAAAAAAAAGTGTTGTTAGATATTGAAACATGTAACAATTTTCTTTGAAATAATAATTAAGATTGAAAACTATTAAAATCAAAAATTAATTGAAACTAAATTGTCAGAAATTACCCCTAATATGAGGATTAGCATTTTGCAAATTGTTTATAAATGCAAAAAAAGCATATAATAAATTGTATTGGCTTACTTGTACTATTTTTCAACAATCATATGAATGTATATGTTTTTTTTTTCATTTTGTAAGTTAGTTTCTTTTAAATTAATGAAAGGGAAATTACAAGTATTCAAATTAAAACGGACTCTATTTCAGTATCATTCATTAAATTTTGAGACTTGAACATATAAAATTTGAGCCTTCGGTAAGTTGTTTGCTTTCTGGCAATTTAAAATTGGTACAATCTTATAAAAATACTGACAGGAGATGTTATACAAAAAACTCTGTAAAGGAGTTAAAGAAAATGAAAGATTCTGGAGTTTACTCTTATCCCACCTCCCGAATCAAACAATTGTCTTCTTTTTTCGTTTGGCAAATTCTTTTCAGGTAAGTTTAATTTTACCCCCCTCTCTCCCTGACCCTTTCGAAATCGTTTCTACGACACTGCTATGACTGCGATTTTCATGAATAAGAGATTTTATTATGAACATGAATAAATCAACTTGAATTAATTAATGGGGGATTGAATGTATAAAATATATACTTTTATAAATTTGTGTATTTAAGGTGATTTAATCTAAAATAAAAAATATAATACGTTTTCCGTTCCTCGTTTTAGCAACACCCCCCCCCCCTTTCCCGAACCATAATCATTTTTCATTATTCTGTCCATTTCAATATTAGTATGTATATTGTTGGGAGGTGGATGGGGTAAACGATTGATTACTAGATTTACTCGTATATTTAATATCCTGACCTTGATCGACTGACACGCCCCCTCCCCCAACTGTTTTCAGTGGATACATATAACAATTATAAAAAACAATTTATCTCTGTCTGCAATGTTACATGTATTAATAATACCATTATGGTTATTCAGAAAAAGTATCAAATATTAAATTAATTTACAAAGCCTTATACAATTTTATTAATAATGTTTTGAAAATAATTTTGACAAAATTTGATAGCCCCCCCCCCCCCCCCTCAGTTTGAATCAATGAATATGAATCCAGTCTTTTATCATGTTTATAGCCGGTTTTAAATTTTCACCACTTTGTACTGCAAACTAGCAAAGTTTTGGCTGCAGTAACGACTCATGTTTTCTTTGGGGGGGGGGGGGGGGGGGGGGAATTATGCTCTTCCCCGAATGATTTTGCCAATATTTATCGTGGAGGGTCCTATATCGGTGGCATCTCCTTTTGAGCTGATGTTTAATGGAAGATCTGACTTTATCAATATATGACTGTTGCGTAACACAGTAGTTTAAAGTATGTAATGTAAAATTCAAAATATGCCTTGGAATGACGGTGTTTGGTTAACTCAAAAACACACTAAATTTATGAAACGTAAACAATTTACATGTAGATTGAAATTACCAATCATTTTTGAATTTGTTGAGAGTATGCAATCAAATACCTGTTTGTATTCTTATATTTTCTCAACTGATGACAAAACAAGTTGCTATGACACTAAGAAAACTACGTACGTTTATATTGAAAATATATGATTTTAGTTAGTCAGTCCTCCTCAAAAACTCAACTCAAAAACACACTAAATTTATGAAACGTAAACAATTTACATGTAGATTGAAATTACCAATCATTTTTGAATTTGTTGAGAGTATGCAATCAAATACCTGTTTGTATTCTTATATTTTCTCAACTGATGACAAAACAAGTTGCTATGACACTAAGAAAACTACGTACGTTTATATTGAAAATATATGATTTTAGTTAGTCAGTCCTCCATGATTTGTCCCCTCGCTTATTTCATTATTACATGTTTCATATCATGATATGTGTTTTTCTTTTCCTTTTCATATTCTGATTATTTCTGAATTTACATGTTGTAAATATTCTTCATTGTCCTCATGTACCTGAAATGGTTTGAATGAATAAAATGATCTTGAACTTGAACGGGACCAGGTGCTTTAAACAAAATATCAAATGTATATTTTGATTAAAAATGTGTTATTATTTGATTTAATTTCCTATTCAATTGTACGTGTTAGGAAAAAATTTGTAACTGTTAATTACCATGAAATACATGTAGATTCCCCGTGGACAGAACCCTATAGAAAACATAGCTACTAAATGTATATGCCCCAAATGAAAAAAAAAACAACATATGATGAACTTTTTTATTTTTTTTATTTTCTATGGAATTCTCGGTAGTTGATTATGTAGGTTGTCCCCCCTCCCCCACACTGAAATTGATTCCAATGGGCCTGTTATTTGTTTATTCAAGCTAAGTTGTTTTTTCTTTCTTACATTCAAATATCTTAAAATATGTTTTTCCTCTTTCATAGTGCAATAATGCTCCACAACAACTCCCTAGGTGAAGAAAAAATGACTTTCTTCTTTCCATATTGACATACCTGTCACTTTTTACCCAATAATACAAAAGAGTTCCAACAAGGGGAGATAACAATTTAACTCCAGCAAAATGGTAACAAGGGGCTAAAATAAGCAAAAGAAAGTTATATGAAGTATCCAAATCAGTTATTCCTCTTCTAAAAAATATATTAGATAAGAATCTTCTCTTTTTCATTTAAATATCATAAAAATAATCCAAAATTATGGTAAAAGACCGTTATTTAAAATATGTGAAATTGTAGCAACATATGGTATTTCAAATTTAATTTACAACATGTAGATATTATTTCCCAAGCTCAATATCTTAATACAGAGTAAACCTTATATCATTCTTCAAGTAACAATTAATTTAATTTAATTTCAACCTTGGTCTTGAGAGAAACAAGCATCTAAAAATGGCTAAAAAATCATACTCATTTATTTAGAATCTATAAATAGATGTGTAAAAAACAAAATATTCATTTGAATTAAGTTTTTCCTCATTAATTGTGTAAATTGGACCATGACTTTGAAAATAAAACAAAATTTGAAAATAAACTGATGACAAAAGGTAAGTTTTTGACTTGATTAATTTGTATAGATTTTCCATTAAACTTTGCCTTATTTTCGACAAATATGCAAATGAGCTGTTACTAAAAATAGATGCTGGGTTCGACATTTTTGTGTAGATATTCTTACTTCTACCTTTATGTAGAAAATTTTAAGCCACTAAAAATTCCTAAGTTGCAACCTTCCATTTGGACGATTTTTTGAATTTTGCATGGTTTTCTCGTGGACTGGCTCTTAAGAATCTTTTGTTATTTCAGGTTGACTTACTGGGTGTAACCTTAGATACACATGAGCTGAGGAAACCTTATCAACATGGAACCTGCAATGGTCAAACAAATTTTAAGTTAAAACATACACTAAAGCTGGATTTTAAAGAACTGAAAAACAGAGGTAGTAAAATAAAGGACTAAAATTTAGAAAATTAGATAATAAAAATAAGTTAAATCTGTGGAAAATTACCATACGTCTTCAGGAAAACCCCATCGTATGAGTTCTTCATCTAGAAAGAAAAACTCTATAAATTCTACAACTTGAATTATTTTGCCTAGTGTATGCTTTTAATATTCATGCACAACAAAGCATAAGTTGCATACAAAAGGAATACTGTAGAATCATTTTAAATGATGTGGGTAATGTTCATGGGCAAGCAAAATTTTACAGATTTGTGATTACATGTACATAATTACCTAGCTAACTCAATTATATGGTAAATTCAATGAATCACTACACCAACAAAATAATATTGTTTGTGGGGATATAAATTCATGAGTTCAGTTGTAGAATCTACAAACACAGGACCCCACAAATGATGATAAAATGTCTCCATATTATAAACCTGTACAATCAATACAGCTAAATATTCTTAATTTGACTTAATCAACTTACTCTCATGCTTATCTTCCCCCATATAAATGGTGTATGCTGGGGACACAACTGTAATGAAAAAATGATAAAATGTATAACTTTAAAATAAATGACCAGAGTGTAAAAAGTATAATTATCTCAGCATTGGGAGTTTAAAAGGATATTTCAGTCAATACAATGCTATGCAAACACTCAACATAACTTGATTTTGGTTGGATTTGAACCTTTTAAAGACATATTTAAGAAATGAAAGCTTTATAGTGATAGCGAGCGCAGTGAGCATCGCGAACACTCGTGAAGCGAGCTCAATAGACTAACGTGTAAGAACAGAGGAAATTCGAAATGAAATCTGTACATCTGTCAGACAAATTTTTGTGTGAAACCTTCCCAAAATTCCTTTGCTACAAGGATTCCATGCAATAATGGCAAATAAATAGTAAAAAAAAATAAAAGGCTTTCGGTTTGTAGAAATTTTAAAAGCAACAAGAAAATTCTCATAAAAATGTCTTTCGTCAAAAATTGCACTAAGTCTTTAGTTTCAACCAAGTGCTCAGCTGTCTCCGTAAGCTCCAACAAGCTACGTTATGCCATGTGACGTCACAGTTAGTCGAGATATCTTGTGCGACTTGATGTTTAAAGAACTGATCAATGTTTCAATTGTGTTTTTGACTATATAACTGCACTCGCCCCAACAGTCACACCGCAAAACATACTAAAAATTCAAAGGATACTGTAAACCAACTTTTATTCGCGACGACTTTATTTCGAGATTTACTGGGTGTAAAGTAGTTCGCGACGATTAATTTTCGCGATCAAACCTTTTTTGGAATTGTTTTCAATAGAAGAAGAGACTTTAAGGAACCGTTCGCAACGAGAAAAATTTGCGATGACCAGGATCTCGCGAACCTCGCGAAAATTTCTCGCACATGAATAAAAGTTGGTTTACATATGCAAAGCGATTAGTTGAAGCGGGCAGGAAATTCATTTCAGACAATATTGATCAAAACAAGTGGTCCAACTAAGGCCAGGTAAAATTAATCTTTAGATTCTCATCCTAATTTGCTAAAAAATTGGGGCGGGTGGGCGGATTTTATTTTTTATTTTTTACAATTGTTAATTTATATATAGGCCTAAGTATCAACAAAACAATGGATGCCCCGTACACATTTTTTTTCATTACCTTAATGCAAATATGAATAGATTTAATTCTTTTCATATTCTTTTAAATATTTAAAGAAAATTTTTGCTTTAAAAATTAAATATTTATTGTTAATTAACAAATTATCAAGTACACATTATACGGCACACCCTGAACAAAATGAGGTAGGGATACCAATAAATTGTGTATGCGTGACTTCTTATTTTGCAAAATCTATATAAATGTTCTAATAATTATTCTACTGAAAAATCTAGGCCTTCTCTTAAGTCTGTCTACGATGTTGTAGATTTTTTTTTATTTCAAAGCAAAGTCACACAGCTGGAGATCGTTATATGTAACTAGACCAGGTGTCATTTTCCTCGTCTATTTTTACTTAGTTACAATCTCTCTACATACTTGCTCCTGCCAGTGATGGTATCTATATGTGTTTATGCTATTTTTTCTTCTCTGCCTTCTCTATACTGACAAATTATCTTTTCCTTACACATTTAAACTGCTTTTATTGCCGATTTTTCTCCATTCTTCACATGGCGTTTTTGCTATAAATAGCGACACGCGACTTTTAATACAGACGGGAGATAACTCTTAAACTTTGAACCAAATTCTTACTGAATAATACATGAAAATACCCCAAAATCAAAATAAAAAACATCGGGGCGGGACATTTTGAGAGGGGCGGGCGGGGATGAGAATCTAAAGATTAATTTTATATGGCCTAAAGGCAAGATTTCCATAATCACTTTGTGTGACACTACCCTGAGATTAAGAAGAGACCTCGATATGTCTTAAATATTTAGTCTCCAGTCTCGACTAAACTCGCTGAGATTTGGGACCAACCATCATCTAAAGGAAGGTTTAGTGGTTTACTATAGCAAAATAGGCCTACAATACTCAGAAAAAGAGGGAAAGCCCTGTCCCCAACCCCAACCTCGTGTTTTACGGGCCCGGATAACGAAAACTATGCTTGATCTTACAGTTTCACCGTCTGACATCTAGCATCTTGTGATTTAGTCTCTGCGTAACCATGTGTTTAATTTCAACATCTGGGATACAGTTTACTAGGGTATGTAAGAGCGTAGATACTAATCGTCTTATCCCCAATTTTTCGAGGCTTGCCAACTACAAATTTTGATATATTTTCAAATATCAGACTTACCTGTACTTGTAAAATAAAACACCATGGTTTTATTCGCGTCGAAGATCGTTGCTTTTTCCCCGGAAATGAAGTTATTTTTCACCTCCTTTGCTAGAGAGCGAGTAAGTAGTATCCGAACCAAACCAAATGTCTGATCCGGTTTTAAACAAGAAAAAAATCTATTTTTGAGTTTGAGTTCTTGTAAGAGTCACAGACACTGTTTATGAAAAATTTCTACAGCAGTAATTGAAAACTTATCTCCTTGCTCTTTCTGATATTTTTGTGTGCTTGTTTTGTATTTTTTCCCAAATAAATTAAGCTATTCAAATGTATCAAAGTAATCGAATCAGCCTGGTACTATCAGGGATCTATATACTAATAGGTCCCTGGTACTATATTGACAATTCAAAATTCTAGTTACAGTATACAGTTGAACTTCAGTATCTCTAACACTGATATCTCAAATGCCATGAATTGAAAGTCCCATTCAACCACTTATTTTACCCTCCATATCTCGAAGTTTTTCCTCAGTCCCAGAGTTTGAGAAAACGAGATTCGACTGTAATATATATCCTACCTTGATTTTTACATGTTTACAATATAGTTGTCTCATTTATAGCCCAGCTGTTTTAAATGAAGAATTCATGTTGTGGTAAATTATTCCCGATTCAAATTCACTTATATATATATATTTAAATCAAGTCATACGGTCTTCTTGTAGGATACTTGCATCACCGATTGGAATATGCCCGACAGATAAAGACAGGTTTGTCAATTATAAATTGAGTATGGACCAAAATAGCTGACTAGTCATTGGACTACAGTCCTTTTTTTATTGTTTATAAAAAACAACATTAAATTGATATAATTTATTCTGGTGTTATGCATACTGTACAATATTATACTTCTACATATATATATTAATATTTCCTGTAAATGAACATGTATCTTTAAACCTATTGCAACTGTAGTTGTTTCCTTATATCTTTTGTATCTTTGTTTGATCTGATGTAAATAAAGATTAACCATGCACAAAAAATACCCCAGAAATACATATAAATTAGAAAAGGTAGAAGTTTATAGCAATAAAATGAAAGCAGCTCCAGTTTAAACAGGGATTTGACACTATATACCTTGTATTTCTCAACAAAAATTCTTCCAGGCATCAAAAAGAACAAAAGTAACAATAGATCTATCATTAGACATGTATATAAATATAAGAAGTTTATTCACAAAAATAGAAGTAAAAAAAGTGATTATCAAAGCACTGGCCATCTGCTTAGCAAATGTCACTACAACCCAATATAAAATCCTAATGTAATTGACTTCTGTTCTCTAACATTTATATAAAACTGTTTTCTCAACATCACAGAAGTATATAAAAGCATCACAAGGTCTGTCGATATGAATTAAAAAAAAAAAATCATTAACAAAAAGGTAACTAAAACTCACAACCTTTAACTGTACTTCAATAAATAAAGGTGGCACTTTATGGTTTGGAATTATATAAAAAGTCCCCTCTTTACAATGTGCACTTTCATCGTATCACAAATTGTACAACAAATGAAATGTACATGGCAAGAACATAAATAAAATCCTTTTAAAAAATGTCAGCAGTTTACAGAGATAGATTTTTTGTTGTTGTTGTGAATGCGTAGTCACAAATCCGTCATTTTTATAAAGAAAAATATAACTGACCAGCAGTTTTCTTTTATAGAGAAAAAAAGATGAAATGGGAAATGAACATACAAAGCAGATACTCCAAATATGGTTAAAATCCAAATAAACATGAATATTCATTTGATAAATTGATGAGCGATCCGGTAAATACTAGGTTTATTTTATATCGGTTTGTTGTGTTAAACATTGGAAGCCTTGGTTTTTGCTTTGGAGTACTTAGATCCACCAGTAGAATCTCTGTGTTTGCCTTGCCCCATGGGAAGGCGACCATCAAAGACAAATGGTAGGGAGGGACTACTTTTGGACCTTTTCAAGTCTGAAAGAAAAAACAAGATAATAAAACTTTTGTCTCTCTTTCTATCATTACCTCATAAATTAATCTAACACTTACAATTAAGTATATTTCAATTAACTGGCCTTTAATTTTGGATTAGAAAACAGGGACATATATTCTCTGTTTTGTATACAAAGGCTGCTTATTATAGGCACCATCATTGAGTATGACCTTACTACCTGTATACAAAATCTGAGAAATGTTTGAAAATAAGTGTTGCGCAAACCAAATTTTGTTACAAAAATCAACATTCTGTTTCATTTCATACCTTTAACATCAAGGTGACATCTGCGTTTGTGCGAGTCACGGCTTTGGTGCTCGTCTTTCTTTGATGCATTTTGCTGAGTTGGACTTGGACTGCGGGCTCGATGATGAAAAGACGGTGCTATAAAAATAGAAAAAAAAATAAATCAAACTGCAACACTTCAACTAACCTCATAGCAAGATTGGATCATTGAAAATTCAATTAATCCATATCAATTACATATTTGAACACACCTTCAAGTAAAAATTACACGTAATGAAATATAATTCTAATCTCTTGAAAATTAAAACTTTACAATAAACCTCGATGGCCAACAAATTTTCACAAATATTTCATTATAGATGTACATGAAATTACCAGGGATGGGGTAATTGAATAAAGTAATTGTAATTGAGTGTAATTAATTACATTTTTCAAAGTAATTGGAAGTAATTTGTATTTGAGCGAGCCTTCAATTACAAGTAATTGAATGTATTTAAATACATTTCAAAAAAGGTCATGTATTTTCAATTACTTTTCAATTACATTTCAATTACTTTTTTCAAAATGAAAGTTTATATTTAGAAAGGTGTCTTATACTGATACATAGTTTTATACTGGTGGGATTTTACTTCTTATTCCCACATTTTATCAATCTCAGTTCTCCCTAGTCACACTTGCAAATAACAATAATTGTTTAGATAGTTGATTTGTTTTACAGCAATAAGACAAACTACATTCCCTTTTAAATTTACCTGTATTCTATTCATTTTAAGATACAAAATAATAAATGGATTTGAGATAGATATTATTTAATATTTCCTTCAAAAATATGGATTTGAGAAAGTAACAAAAAAGATCTTGCCATACTCCATACTGGTGTAGAATGGGCTTGTGTTTGTACAATAATTAATTGTCTCATTTGTTTATACAGTGTGTCACACTCATTATAAGGTAAAGGACTAATTTTGACCAGGTGTGAACCCCTCTCATACCCAAGAACAAAAACACTGAATGAAAGTTCAAATTCGATTGCTATAGAAAAAATCTTATTTAAAAAAAAATCTTTAAATTTTTTTTAATATAAAAATAAAACTCAAGTAATTGAAATGTATTTAATTACATTTGTCAAAGTAATTGAAAGTAATTAATTACATTTGAAAAAATCAATGTAATTGTAATTGCAAGTAATTGACAAAATTATCAATGTATTTGAAAGTAATTAATTACATTTCAAAGTAATTGACCCCAAGCCTGGAAATTACAAAAGTGGTAAATTTACAGTCCTCAAAGATGCACTATACATACAAATTTAAAACTGACTTGCAGAACTTTGTAAAAAAAAAAAAAATAGGAAAGAATTAAGACTTGCATTTCACATTTTACTTGTAGTTCTGATAGTCAAGTGAAATAGTTCATAGATTTAGGGTACAAATTGTTACAAACAAAATATTCAAATATATAAAATGCAATACATCACAGTTTAAATTAATACAGGAATATATGTAAAGATACTATTTCAGGTCTTTTCACTGACTTCCTACATTGTTTCAACAAGTTTTATTTTATGTAAATCAACCTTACAAAGAAATCTTTAACAGATATTTACCCTTCTTTTCAGTGCATTGGGTGTGGGGAGTGGAGGGAATTTTGAATTATTTTAACCATGCATTTCTTTATAAATGTAAATGTATTTTCTTCTAAAATACTTGAAACCCCCCCCCCCCCTTAAAAAAAGTTTTTAATTCTTCTGAATGTAGTTTCAAAATATGACATTACACTAAACAACTATTATCTCAGTGTTACGGTATGTTATTGTTTGAACAATGCAAATTTTAAAACCAAGTTCTGAAAAATAGCTAAAAAACATAAGAACTTCAATGAGGTGAGCTTAAAAATCAAGACAGGTTTACTTGGAATTCCAAATTTGCAAGGATTTTTTTTCCTTTTAAAGATCATCTCTACAATACAAATAAAACACTATACTATGCAATGCAGATGCAAGTATTACATGCATATATTTGATACCTTTCCCGTGTCTGGCTTTTAAACTTAAATTATCTGCACAGTAATTAAAAGCAACACAATTATTTCAGACACCAAACACAGACTTTGAAGAAAAAAAAATGTGTTTTCTACATTCATTTCTACATGAAATTTTTTTAAAGAACATTAATAAATGCTTACTCCTGCGGAGTTGTCTGTTCCTGTCTTTGGAGTCCTCTTTTTCTTTGGCAGAAATGTCCTGTTTGATTTTGTTTTGTAACTCTGTGTACTTCTTGTACATCTGTAGATACTGGGTCATACTCTGTCTCTGTTCCTGTATTAACAAATAAACAAGATTAGTAACATCCAATAATGTTTAATATTGTCTCTTTTTCGGGGTTTTACATTTGAACAAATTAAAATTATCTGCACATTTACCACTTACATAGGTTTTTCATCCACAAGTACAGGTAGCCTATTAAATTACGTTTTGTATGAACTATTGTAAGTCAATTTTTAATAATTTACCTCTGTTGTTCTTTCCAGATTGTTTTCCAAGTTCTTCACTTGAGATCTGAGTTTCTGTAATTCGGCATCCTTCACTCGCACCATAATCTGTTGAATATAAAGATACTTTTATAACTACACTATACATATAACATAGCAGTGTACTGTAGATCACTTAATTTTCGCGACACCCTTTTTTCGCGAGATAGTCATTGACTCTTTATTAGCGAGACAAAAATTGTGGTCATTGCTCTATATTATTTAAGGAATTCTATTATACGCGAGAATGAAATTTCCGCGAGCATATCGTCTCGCGTAATTACGCGAAAA